TGTCAACAATAAAATGCAGAAAAGCATAGACCTGCAGTTATTTACTGAAGAAAATGTAACTTCTATGGGCAAAATAAAATCATTAAATGATTAAATGAATCAGGAAAGCAAGAAGTTTTTACATTTTTCATTTTGTTTCATGACGTTTGTTTACTTTTTTTCCAGGAAAGACAACTCTGCGCATGCTCAGCCTATTTAATCTGATTGAATACTTAGTGCATATCAGTGGCGGCTGGTGAAAAATATTTTTGGTGGGGCTGTGCTATTTTTTTTTTAAACAAACTTGTGCTTTCTGAGATTTGTGCACAACTTCACTATTTCCTGAATTAAGCACAGCTCTTTTATTTCCTGTCTTACATCATTGGACAAACTGATTAATCCAGGTGTGTCTGACTATTGGCACGCTGCCTTGCAGACCAAGGTTGAAAAATACTGCATTAAATTGCACATAAAATAACACTACCATAAATGGTAAATAGGCAATGCAAGAGGCAAGTAACAAAAAATTTTTGTTTAATTTCAACATTTGAGTGAACACCAAAAATTACGAGCAGGTCATTGTTACAGTAATGGTAGTAAACACCACTTAGACAAAATGCCAGAAATTTACACTGTTAAATATTTCTGGAGTGTTGTGCCAAGGTCAACTTTATACAAAGATCAAGTGGATGCATTTGTGTGTGTGTGTGATACCTCATTTGTACAGAAATTTTGCCCTTCTGTCCTTCTGAGTGGCAAAGCTCTCGATTAGCTTTTTATTGAAGTCAGGAATGTTTGTGACAAGCTTTTTTTTCCATGGAGAGCATGGCAAGAGCATTCAGCCCATCCTGTGTCATGGTGTTCCTCAAGGAAAGTCTTAATCCTCTTTAAAGTAGAAAAGCACCTTTCTGATTCGGCTGTGGTCATGGGTGTGGTGACAAGAATCTTCTTTTGCATGGCTCAGGATGGTGTGAAAAACCTGTCATATGATAAATAAAAAACAACAGATAAGTACATAGGAAACACTTTCATAGGAAATAATGTCATCAGTATCCTCTTACAAATGTCATATTTCCCAGTTTTTGGTACAATAAAACATTTCTGATTCTCAATCAGATGTTTTTACATTTGAGGTAAAAACATCTAATTGAGAATCAGAAATGTTTTATTGTCCCAAAAGCTGGGAAATTTGTTTGCTGCAGCAGAAGTGTAACAAGTAAAATGGAATCAGATTGATGTATGTACAAATTTACATGAAATACACATTTACGTGATTAAATATGTATAATAAGTACGTGTGTTGAAATTAGTTTTTACAGTTATTGCACATTAAACATGTTATTAAACAAATGTCCCGGTTTGTGGGACAACCAAGGATTTCTGATTCTGATTGTCTTGTTCACAGAAATGTAATGTACAGCTTACCTCTGCACCCAGCTGCTGTTGTTCCCTGCATGGCAACGTTAGCTCTGCTGCCTAGCATGGCTAGCTTCACCGTGTTGATGTGTGCCCGGGTAGACTCGTGTTTCTTCACCTTCTCAGAAAAATGTTTCATGTCTGTAACTCCTGACTCATCCATGCCTTATCTGTCCCAGCCGTTTTGAATAACAAACACGGAAAGCAAAATAACGCATTAGCGTGATTGCATCCAGCTAGCCAAGCCTTCCTGGTGTACCAATTTCGGGAGAAGCCTAGTATGTACAGTTTACCTCTCTCCTTCTCCTGCTGGCTTATCTTTACGTCGGGCTGATCTGGTCCAAGCTCTTTGACATTAAGTTTTTCCACCATAGTTCTCCTCTCGAACGGATACTGGAGAAGGGACTGAACTGAATTCAGTGGCTGCTGAGATCCGGTATCCATGCTGGTTTTAGTCACCGGCGGCGTCCATGTTACATCTGCGTCACGACCAAAAACGACTCTGCCGAGTTCTACCGAACACCAACGAAACCTTTGGCGGTAGCTCCATCGCCCATCATGCTTCTGAAACGTTCTGAAACAACGTCGACGCTGATTGGATACATTCCCATTCCTACCCTTTGATATTCTTATCAGCAATTGGACAGCTGGTCTCGTCCTGTTTGGGCGATTGAAAAACAGCACACAGCCTCCACCGCTCGGCAGAGACCGGCAGAGACCTATATATATATATATATATATATATATATATATATATATATATATATGATTTATTTTTGTTACAAAACACACAATTAACTTAGAATATGTGATTATTGTTAATTTTATTTATTTTTTTTTTTAAATAAAAATTAAAAACACGGAAAAACTGGGAGGGGCGGCGCCCTATCGCCCTCTACTGGCCAGCCGCCACTGGTGCATATAAACTCACGGCATGATCAAATCATTTTAGGTAGTGTGCATGTAAATAGAGTTTCTGGATTTCCGATTAACCAAGATTTGAATCGGATTGGGGACATTTGGCACATGTAAACGTGGCTAATGAGGGTTTGTTCCTTTCTGAAGCCTACACCTAGTGCAGGGGTCGGCAACCTGTTCCCATCAAAGAGCCATTATTACCCGTTTCCCACAGTAAACACTGGGAGCCACAGCAGCCGGTGTTGTGGGCGGGGCCTACCCTCAGACAGCAGAGAGCTGCTTTAACCAATCACAACAGATGACAGCAGCCGGTACGGTCGCTCGTGTACGTCAAAGTTATCTTTCATAAGACGATAATCAATAAAACGATTTATATGAAATGGATCCAGAAATTGTAGCCCGCCTCTGCCTACAATATTTTGATATTTTTCATCCTGTTGGTGGTTTTACTGAGCAGGTGCCACTTTTGTCATACGTTTCTTTTTAAAACATGTTTAGACTGTTCAGAATATCCAGGCTCTGTCACGTTTGATTGTTGTAATTAAACTTTGTAGGTGGGGAAGGTCAGAAAAGGATCCGATCATTTTGTTTTTTCCTCATTTACAGTGACGGAGATAACGGTGCAGTGCGCCTGGCTCTGGTGTTAATCAAGTTAAATTATGTCTCTTTGCAACAATTTTCACAAGAAAACAGAACAGTTAAAAGCAGGGCTTGTGTTGACCGGATAGTTCCCGTATTTGACTATTAATTTTGACGGAGAAAGAATAGAAAGAATTACCCCGACGCATGCAGACGAACTGACATTTTATTCGCTATGCACATCGCAGATGTAGCTAAATCACTCAAGAAAAGATTCCCATCTGAACATCTGAGCTGGACACTGTTCAGTGCAGCTCACTGTCAGCATGTACTACATAAGGTCCACAGCGAGCTGAAGATGTGGAGAGGGGCTTGGAGCGCGTCGCAGAACCAGAGCGCATGCAGGAAGATTCCTCCGACTGAAGCGAGACTTGTCACTTAGAAAATGTTCCCTGATTATGAAACTTTGGCTGAATAGTGGTTGTTCCTGTCTCCAATGTGGCGACACATCCAGGAGCCTGTCTGAGGAGAATCCCAGAATCTCGCATCCTCTTCAGCTCAGAAAGCGCCTATGATTACGCACAAGCGTGACGCGTCAACCCGGTCTCACAATAAGACCGGGTTGGAACTGTTCAGGTTTACGCAGACAATCTTTACATTTAGAATTGGCATACAGATGTAAAATTAATGCAGTAAAATATAAAGCATTTTATTTAAATATCCATTCATTATTTTACAAGCACAGAGAGCCGCATCAGATGGATGGAAGAGCCGCATGCGGCTCCAGAGCCGCGGGTTGCCGAACCCCGACCTAGTGGATGAGGGGGGAACTGCAATTTTTGCCACGTGCATTGGCTAATCCTTTGGCAGGTGGAGTTTGCTCCTTGGTCACAATACCATCAAACTATGCATTTGATGTATTCAGATTATAGCTTGTGATCATCATTAGATGATGAAACAAAAGGATCACTGTTCAAGTGAAAGAATCATTATCATCAACTTACATCCTCACACATTTATGAGTAGTGATTTATAATCAAAATGCAGGGGGTTTTCTTTTCATCAAAAATTTGATTTGGGTCAGTTTTGGATTTTAAATTGTAATTAAACAGGAAAACATCATTTTAAAGAGCAGAAATTATCCACAACAAGCATTCTTTCTGCATATTTTGTCATGTTTCCGACCCAGTAAATTGAGTCTGAATTATGTACCTGCGTAATGACTTAAAAGTGGAAGTTCACACGACCTCCTAGTGTTACACGAAGGTTTGCCCAACATGCTGCCCTTGCTGCAACCTGCGAGTAACACAATATTCAATAAGAGTAAAAGACTGCACCTAGAAATAGCTTAACAGTGTTTGCCCGCATTACAATTATGATCACTATTCTCTAAGTTGGGAGGAAAGTGAGATTTTTGCCCAGTTAATAAAATATTGCTGTTTTTATTTCTAATTTGGAGCAAATCCTTAAAATCAACCTTTAGATAAAATCATTATTATATAATCACAATTACTAAACTAAATAAGGGATCTTGTTTAGAAATAAATACTTGTTAAAAATAAACAGAAGTTCACTTATTTATTTAAAATAGCAAGTTTCTAATAATTATCTGCCAGAATGTTTTTTAGCAATATTAACCCAATTTATGCAATGGTAAAAAGTTGAATAGTTGAGACAAAGATTAAGTGGTTTGTTGATCTGCCTAAAAAAATCTTTAAAAATGTTCTTAATTTGACTATCAATAAACTTTTGTCATAACATCCAGGAAATTGGTAACAATATTGACCAGATTTATTTAGTTCTGCAGAACATTTTTATTTGAATAATTTAGGATTATTTGTGGTCTTACATATTTTTCTACATTAAAACCTTTGATTTGTACTTATTCACTCGACTCTTTTGATTAAAAATTGTTATTGCAGATAAACCTTGTTAAAATGTTAAGATTCTAAATCTGATGCGTCTAAATTTATCAGAAGGGGCAAAATGATCAAGTCGATGTAAAAAAATGTAAAATACAATTTAAAAAATGACTTCTTTAGGTTGATTTAACAAAAAAAAAGTTCTCCTCACAATACATTCATAATATACATATTAGGACAAATCTATCTATCAATCAATCAATCAAAGCTTTATTTATAAAGCGCCTTCTGCAACCCTATCGGGAAGCCCAAGGCGCTGAACATGGTACAAGAGAAAGTTAAATATGGTGAATAAATCGAAAATAAAAGCAATTCAAATTACAAAATACAAAAAAAGGTTAAACATTCTAGTAGAAGACAGATCTAAACATAAAAGTGTCATAAGCTGCCAGTCTTTATCAACAGCACTCTAGAAAGACAGAATTAATCCCAGATATTTATTTGGGGGCCACATAAAACCACTTCAAGGGCTATAAATGGCCCCCGAGCCACACTTTGGACATGTCTGTTTAAAGGGTAACATCAAGAGAAACGTCACAATTAAAGAATGTACAATAAGGTGCTATGAAGCATTTTTATGTCAATTAAAGGAAACTTTTACTAGACAAAACAAATAAAAGACCAGCAGGCTTGTGTCTAAAGAATCTCAAATCAGCTCAGATTGTTGCATAAAATCTTTAAACAGCAGCTTGGGTTTAATTTGTAGATTATTCCTGACCAGGCCTTCATATCAGCTCACAGTGAAGACAGAACAAGTTAAATGAGATTAAATTGGATTATTCTCATTAAGATTGAGTATCAGGGGTCCAGTCAGGGATGGAGAAAGTCTTAGATTGTGTCTTCTGCTGTCCTATAGTGTAGTCCACATGGACGCATATGTGTCTGGCGCTGTCCTCGGAGGGATACATTCTAACCTCTCCGGTAACCGGCGTGTCCTGCACCACTTCCACCGGAGAGTCCAGGTACAGCACCGCCTGCTTCCAGTGAGTCTCCGGTTGGGACGGGGATGTGGACAGCACCAGTGTCTGCGGTACGCCCGGACAGGGAAAAGTCACCGTGAAGTAAACACAGAAGGCGTTCACCGCCGCGGAGCCGAACGACTCGCACCGGAACGGGCCCTTCACCGACCGCAACTCCTCCACGGTCACCGAGTTCAGGTCCAGTTCCGCGAAGCGGGCCGGGTGGGAGAGCACGTCCTCCACGGCCACCGAGCTCACCGTGATGTCCGTGTTCTTGATGCATTTCCGAGCGAAGTCAGACATGCAGGACATGTCCACCCCGTACTGATCCTTGACGGTGTACCAGAAAAACAAGCGGTCCTCCACCACCGGGTCGCTGATCGGGGTGATGTAGAGTTCGGCTCTGCTCGGCAGGATCAGGCCGCCAGGCTTCAGCCACTTGTCGCGCGCGTACAGCACCGAGTTGAGCATGGACTCGTGCAGAAGAGCGTAGCCCATCCACTCGCTCACGATCACCTCCACTTTCTCCGGTAGGTCCACGGTCTCCACCGTCCCCCGGATGACCTGAACTATGTCCTCCACCTTGTTGTGCTTCACGATCTCCTCCGCCTGCTCGGCTATGGAGCAGGCCTCCACAGCGAACACCCTCCTCGCACCAGCCTGAGCACAGAAGATGCTTAAAACGCCGGTTCCTGCCCCGACATCCAGAACGGCTCTTCCTCTGATCAGCTCAGTGTTCCTAAAGATGGCCGTCCGGTAAGCGTTGGTTCGGACGTGGTCTGCTATCATCTCCTCGTGTATGGTCACATCAGAATAGCTGTCAAAATAAAGTCTATCCTGGCGACTTTTGTCTAATTTTCTCTTTTTTCCTGCATGAGACATCTTTACTGAACGCTAGTGCGCGACAAGGAGGTGATGTATTGTTGCAGTACTTTCACCTTGTCGGATATGGGACTTGTAGTTTTCCACTGCGCATAATTTACGTGAGTCAATGTGAATTAAACTACAAATCCCGTAAGTAAGTAGAAGCCACGTTGGGTTTCGTTGCAGTCACGGACGTTAAACAAGTAGGGAAATTGACCTCCTACTTCTAATGTGGCTTCTAATAAAACCTTTCAAATTCGGCGCTTTTAACGTTAATTTTGTTGCATTACAAAGTCTCACATTGCTATTTTTGAAAGGATGAATGACTCATGTGTTTGATAAACTATATTCATTTTCAAAACCTGTGAATCCTAAGAAACACACTTTAAATGGTCTGGTTTTGTTATATTAGACTCACACACTTTTATATGTTCCTCATAAGGAAAACATGAAGATAAACGTGCTCTCAATTTGTCATGGTCTGTGTCTGTGTCTCTTTGTGTTCCTCTTGTGTCCCCTGGTCTTCAGCCCTCCAGATATTCCCTCTCAGGTCCTGTGTTTCTTCAGTCTCCCCACCATAATTTCCATAGGTCTATTATTCTAGTTGTGTGTGTGTGTGTGTGTGTGTGTGTGTGTGTGTGTGTGTGTGTGTGTGTGTGTGTGTGTGTGTGTGTGTGTGTGTGTGTGTGTATGTGTCCTCCTCCAGCTAGGTGTGTTTGTGTGTGTGTGTGTGTGTGTGTGTGTGTGTGTGTGTGTGTGTGTGTGTGTGTGTGTGTGTGTGTGTGTGTCCTTTCCCAGTTAGGTCTGGTGTCCTCTCCTGCTCCTCCTCCCTGATTAGTTATCACTTGGTTCTCTCCCCTCACACCTGCAGCTCATCGTCCTCCCATTATGCCCCAGTGTATTTAAGCCCTGTCTTGTCTCAGTGTCTTGTCGGTCCATTGTTGTTTTGTATGTCAGCGTTTTCTGGTGCTCTGTGTGAGCCTTTTGTCTCGTCCCCAGACTTTGTGCTTTAAGTGAGCTTTCGGTGTCCTGTGCTCCAGGACTTTTGGATTTTTGGCTTGCAGCATTTTGGATTTATTTTTGTTGTCATCTTACAATTAAAAGGATTTATTCTTTACATCCACTCCTACCTTGAGTCATCCTGGGTCTCTGCATTTTTGGGTCCTAACCACCCCCTTAACGTGACACACATATGGACACCTTTATGTCTGAACATGGTGTTCATTATGGACAATCCATGATGAGCACAGAAGTCCAATAACAAAACAGTGCTTGTAATCAGATTAGGGGCGTCGTTCCTCCCGACCACACTTCTCCAGGTCTCACTGTTGTTGTCCACGTGAGCGTTAAAGTCCCCCAGCAGAATGATTGAATCACCAGAAGGAACAATCTTCAACACCCCCTCCAAGGACTCCAAAAAGAGTGGGCAGTCCAAACTGTAGTTCCCCACCAGAGAGGTGACATTCCGCATGCCAAGAGCCAGCTTTTGTAGCTGAGGATTAGACCGTCAAGGTTCCCACCTTTGACTACCACCTATCACACATTGCACCCAACCCCTTTGGCCCCTCCCACAAGTGGTGAACCCATGGGAACGAGGACCCACGTTTCCTCTTTAGGCTGTGCCCAGCAGGGCCCCATGGGTGAAAGCCCAGCAACCAGATGCTTGCTGACATGCCCCACCTCCAGTCCTGGCTCCAGAGGGGGGTCCTGATGGCCCAAGTCTGGGCGATGCAAGACCATTTATATAAACCATCATAAGGGGTCTGTGGTCTGCATGTTGTCTGATCCCTCACGTAGGACCTGTTTCCCATGGATGACCCTAACAGAGGCATAAAGCCTTAGACAACTTAGCTCCTAGGATCATTGGGACACTCAAACCCCTCCACCAGTGGCAGCCCAGGGAGGGCACATAGAAGAGCAAAAAAAAAAAAAAAGAAAGAAAAAAAAGCACAAAAATGAAGAGAAACTTTATGGCCTATTCTTACTTGTAATTATGATTTTGGACAACAAATCTTTTAGTGTTGGACACCTGATTAGTTATCTTTACTACAGGGTAAAGTTTGACAAATCATGCATCTGTAGAGTAAGCAACACCAGTTAAAATGTGGACAATGCCCCCAAAATATACCATATTCTACTGTTGGGGTTAACTTTTTGCCAGTTGTGGTGCACGGGCCAACTCAGGGCATCAATGATGCTTTCAAAGTTCAATGTGTTTAAACTGTGATCAAGGTGGACAATGACGTCCACCCACACAGCCCAGACATACACACTGCTCCTTATGCTGGTTGGGTTAAAAAAAAGTCACTAGCCAACAAGATGGACTCCATTTACCAATAATTGTGACAGTTTTAAAGTCACATGCTAATCTATAATAGAATTTACAAAAAAAATGAAATAAAATAAGGCAACGAGATTATGATAATTTATTCCGAAGAGCTTGGTAAAAGGTTAAATGCTATTAAAGTGAAATTAAAGTGAAATGGAATGCTAGAAATCCAGTGGAAGATCCATAATGTTTGGAAAGCATCTGTGAAACGTAGAGCAATAAAATAAATGGAAAGACCTTTTTATTTAGAAAAAGTGAAAACAGAGCCCCTTTGTTTCTGCAGAGCTCAGCGTGGTCATTATCATTTCTGAGCCTTCCCTGGCGTTTCCAGCAGGCAGAGCACAGCTGTTTGTGGCTCAGCTTGGCCCCTATGGGACCCTCTTCACTGCGTTTCAGAGATCTTTGGCAAAAAAAAGCTGGTGGACAAATAAGAAGGAGCTGTATCCTATTTCATGAAGATGAAAACCAAGAGAAAGAAGCCATGGTGTTGAAAGGGGAAGTAACATGCTGGCCGGTTTATTGCTTTCAAGACAGCCTACTGCAATCCAGGAAAAGGAAATAATAGGAGAGAAACATTAGACAAATATAGATATATATGGTGCCGTGCATGGGAATTGGGAGGAGTAGGATAGCGTTTGTGCTCATATTTAGATGCTTTGTCTAAATTTGCATCCATAGTTTCCTTTTAAACCACTAATCCTCATGGAAAGAAACAAATGCTAATAATTATTCAGTCTTTTCAGAAAACGTAAAGCAAAGAAATAATTCCTCATGAACTCTTGGTTCAGCTGGAGTAATGAAAAAGGAAAGCATCGAGGGAAAAGGAAGAAAGCCTTTTGTGGCTGACTTTATTATTCAAAGCTTCCAGTTGTCCCTTTTGGATCCAAGTTTGATGTTGAATCAGAAAACAAAACAACACAAACATGATCAGAATATGCTGTGTAATCTGTAAATGAGCCAAGTATCAAAGCGGGCCTGCCACTAAAAAGTTGGACACAGTAAAGTCGAATTGGAATTTTACAATAAGGTAGATTAGTGCAGTTGTGATTGGATCCACTTGGCGGGGGGATTTGCAGGTGTTGGAGCCGGTTGGAAGAACAGACAAACAAGCAGCTGTTGATTTTCCTCTCCTCCTCTTCTCGAGCTTCTGGTAGAAGCATTGCCAGCTTCGGCTGGAGCCAACACCAACTTCCCAAGGTGTGTGTGTGTGTGTGTGTGTGTGTGTGTGTGTGTGTGTGTGTGTGTGTGTGCGCGTGTGTGCGTCTGGAGTGGAGCAGGTTTGGATCAGTGCATGCTAAGGTCACGCAGCAGCTGTAAAACTGGTCCCATCAGGTACCAGCAATCAGATTAGGATGCTTTGTTGTTTAAAATTCCAACTCTGCTCCAGGTTAGATTTGAATTTGCAAAATTAAGATCCAATACATAAGAGCCTTGATGATTAAAATACAAACCTTTCAGGTGGTGGTTAGTTTTAAAATGTGGGGCATTAATTAGTAGATCATGGTATTTGTGTATCGTAGAAGTTGTGAAACGCCCTTCAGGTGCTGAACGCCTAAGTGTCGTTATTTTCTATTGAGCTATTCTCTCATTCGTAAATTCACCAAAAATTAAAGTTCCCTAAAAACTAAACATGTGTTGTACAATCAGTTTAGTGAAAGATAACAGCCACGATTTGTGGAATGAAAAGAAAAGCAGCATCACAAATGTAACAAAAAGCAGTAAATGTACACAGGTAAATCTCAGAGCCAGATGAGAAAACCAAAGTGTTTTCTGATGGATATGGGATTAATAACTTTAATGTAAACATATAATCTGGCCATGACCCATCAAAATCAGTCGAGGGTTGGAATCTACGATTATCTTTCAAACTGTCTCCGGACACAATTAGACAACGCTACGACCAATCAGAGCAACGGATGTGACATATTCATTGCTACAGAAGCCAGTCAACAGGCAGTCTGCCGTACACCATCAAAGAAGAAGAAAATGCATATTTTTTTCTGAATAAAGGACTTAAGTAGCTCTATCTGCTCTTGACTCAAATAAGTCTAAATCTTCCACAAATGATATCAAAGCTGTTTCACATGGGCACCGTAACTGAGGCGATGCCATCTTTGTAGTTTTGCTACATTGCAGCTCTGGCGCAAAGCCTGCCCGATGTCTTTCTACAAACGTAGAGCGCTGTTATTGGTTGGACATTAAATTGTTTGGGCCAGTGGAAGACCTGCTGAGGCTACGATGGAGCGTGGCTAGACCAACCCGCAGATATAAATATTTTGCTGTTGCTGCAGTTTGTCTAGATTTCTAGTCTAGGGTCCACGGTCACCAGATATAGGACTTGTATATTTATTATATGTGTAAAAGATAAATGTTACATGCTTTGATGCATTTTATTATGCTAAGGATGTATGACCAACAAGCATCAGGTATCAGCTGATTTTCAGTCCAGTGTTTCTTGCAGTTAATTAAATAGATGATCAATCAGAAATGCTCTCACGCTGCCGCTGCAAAGGACCAACACTGGTCTAACTCCTAAAAGCTGTTTCACTGATATCTGATGGTTTAGTACAGTTTTGCCAAAGGTTGCTGTGATAAAGCAGGTGACATCAATCTGAATAGATTTAACTAGTAAAACATGTAATATTCAAGAAATGCATTAGAAGTTTGAAGTGAAAGCAAGAAAAATTATTTATGACATATTCATCTACATGTATGTATCTTCCATGCAACAAACACAAGTTCACTCTCCAATTGAGAGTGA